AACTGTTGAATTTTACCTGTTTGCCAAGGTTTCTCTCATACATAATAACCAAATAATGGCTTCTACCTGAGCACAGAGTTGTCAAATGTTGAGAAATAAAAAAAATCCTGACAATTTTCTTTGAAATATTCTGGCTTCAAAAGCATTAACAGTTCAACAATAATGTACAAGTCAGTTAACTAATATTATAACTAACTTACCTGAACTAAAATGACTAAAATATTATACATATCTGCACTGATGAAATGTAACCAGATAGATTTACTCAGGTACTCTACTTATAGTATAATTTTTTCTTGTACTTTACTTAAGTATTTCCATTTTATACTATTTTACACTTCTACTCCAGTACATTCTGGAGGCACATTTGTACTTTTTGCTTCACTACATTTATTGTAAAGCTTCGGTTACACTGCAGATTTTTAGATTACTAATGGAAAATATAAATAAACTAAGAAATTACACGGTATTATTAAAGATTAAGAGAGCTGGCAGTATATAAAGTAATTATAATCTGCTCCGCTTTTACCAGCTGCAACACTAGAGTGCTGAACACATTTAATTTTGCACTATGTCAATCTTTATCTTGTCTTAACGGGGAACTATGCCCATTTTCAAAATTCAAACATGTAATTCAAAGGGTCTTAGACAGTCCAAAATAATAGTAAAATAATCAACTCACCTAAGCTCATATTTGTGATGTCAATGGGTATTAAGTCTGAAGCTGCTCTGTAGAGCATGAATGGTAAAAGATGTTTTAGATGACACTGAGAGCACCCAGTGGGATGTTCTGAGTATATGGGTACATTTTTATTTCAGAGCTGAGTACTCTACTATAGAATAAAGCTCATTAAGGTCTACAAAAGCAAACAAAAATTCTCTGGGTCCACAAATTCAGGCTCCCATTCATTGTCTGTGGAGCAGCTCCAGACTTTAAACCCTATGACATCACAAGTTCAAGACTGACTTGTCTGGTTTCTGGCTTTGAGACTTAGCTCACAGAGACAAATATTCACTAAACGTCCCTAGGCTATAGAAATAACATATGGGAATTCTTACTTTAGGTGGCATCCCCCTTAAATACTATAAGCTCTTGTTGGGATTAATAAAGTACTCTTATATATCTCTCATTAGAATCAATAACATAATAAACATGATTCTGACATGGGCCATACTGCATAATGAGTACTTTTACTTTTGGTACTTAAAGTATTTATGCTAATATTTTTAAACTTTTGCTTTAGAAAGTTTAAATCTAGGACTATTGTAACAGAATATTCATGCACTGTGGCCCTGCTACTTTACTTAACTTAAATATCTCAATACTTCTTCCACCACTAAATTTAATATATAGTATTAAGATTTCATTTGGTCACGAAGTGGCATATGCTAAACGATTAATGGAGAACATAAACAGCAATTTGCCAATAATATAAACAGCCGTTAGCCGCAGCTCTAACCTTACTGATATTCCGAGCGATAGCATTTAACGGCTAGCTTGATGCAACAGGGCCCCAGCTAGAAACTTGAAAGCTAACGGTAGCGGCAGTTAGCCGACTGACCAGCTAATTTAGCTCCCTACAAAGCTAACGTAGCTATGCGGCTACCTAACAGACTGAATGATTAATAAGTGACCTGACAGTCGATTGAATTAGTTGCCCTTTTCCTTTTATGTGGCTACAGTTAGCTAACAGTTACGTTTCTGTCACCGGCTTAAACTCTACCACCGGCTAACGTGAGCCAATTTATCTCACAGACGTCCAGACGTTTTCCCCGCCCTGAACTCACCAAGCACCCGCTAGCTTGAGTTAGCTTGTAACGGTTAATGCGACAGTCTTTCAGTGACGGAGCTGGAAGGCGCCAGCTTCATCCGCAGCTCAGCTAACAGTTAGTAACAGAAGCAGGCTATATATATGTATAAGCCTCGCCCTAGCTGGTTTCCTCGGGAATCAATCGGTTATGTTCCTGCTAGTCACGGGCTAGCATCTAAGCTAACAGAGTTCAGCTGCCTCCTCCACCAGCCGCCGTTTCACATGCCGGTAAAAGACACCGTGTTTCAGCGCCGTTACACTCACCTGGAGTGGATTGGCTTCGACAGATCTTGTACACAATGATTTTATTATTTTTCTCCGCTGTAACTCGGTGTCATAAAAAGGTCTATCTGTGATTGTTTCGACGTTATAGACACTTCTGCTTTTTCTTCTTCTTCTTGGTACCTCACGTTCAGTCTACCGGCAGCGGAAGAACCGTTTTGATGACGTCAGGGCGTAACGGGTAACGCCTAAACGTACCGACGCTAATGACGCTTTGTTGCACTCACAGGAAACCGAGGAAAATATATATAAATATAAATAATAAATAATAATAAATAAATATATACAAATATAAAATGACCAAGGATAAATATAAGATACATAGAATATCGATTTATATATACTTAATTAAAAATATCTAATCAATATATTAATGTATAAATAAAATATAAGAATATAAATTTAAAAAATATATAAATTTATATTTATTATATTTATTTATATATCTATTTAAAGACAGAAAGAGAGAAAGAAAAAGAAAGGAAAAATCACAAATGTACTAATAAATATAACTATTTTTCTAATTTCTCTGATACTCATTGGATACGTACACGTAAATTTGCTCTCACCAACAAATTTAAAGACATAAATTACAAAATTCTGCATATTTACCTAACGAACATTTTCATCTAAAGATCTGAGGTTTTCAATAACAAATGTGAATTTTGTAAAAACAAAGAAGAAACAACTTAACATCTGTTTTATGAATGCAAATGTGATTTTATTATCTACCTTTTTTGATAAATGATTTTATAATCTTATAAATGTATCATTAGTTTGGTCTTTTTTTCCCCCTGGGTTACATTTACCCTATTTGAGGCTGTCATGCTAAAAGCATCATCCTAGTGAGAGTGGAGTGGATGCATAAATGTTTTCTGTTAGTCATAATGTCACATGTTGTAATGGTTTCTATAATAAAGAGATTTTTTTAAAAAGATGCCCTTTACAAAATTTGCTATAGTTTTCATGCAATTGCACCTTAATGACTCCCCGGTAGTAAAAAAAAAAAAAAAAAAGAGTTTCTGCCGTATGACAGAGCCATACCAGTGCTAATTCAAAGAGGTGTCTCTATTCCAAATGTCATGACATATAGCAATCAGTTTTCAGAGGTGTCCTTCAAAATTATTCATAAATAATAATCTGACATCACTTAACAGGGGCACTTGTAGAAAGGGTTTTAGAAATACAGAGGCCTCAAATAAATTCATTTTCTTTTTTAATTTTTAAATCCTCTGAATTAAGTATTTTGATTTCACATTTATTCAGTAAAATTATAATTTCTAGAAATATAATTTTCGTGCACTAATGTCTAAATGCTTAAGATGCTAAAGCCTTCTTTACACCTGCAAAGAATAAAACAGTAGTATGGGGAAACTGAAACTTTACATTAATCATGTATAAGATGAGATCAACATTTATTGATCCCTTGTGGAGAAATTTGTTTTCTGAGGCAGCACAAGGACAGCAATACTGATAAATAGTAAAATAAATAAATAAATAAGAGGCATATGACACGAAAACATGAATAGAATAAAAAACTAGAAACTATACTAATGCATTTGGAGACAAAATTACAGGTTATTACAAAGTAAAAGTAGTTAAATTTAAATGAAGTGAGCCTAGAACAACTGCCATAACCAAAATTCAGAGAAAAAGCTGCGAGTCAAAGAAAGAGACCATCCCTGTATCATTGTGATATCTTTTTATTGTTTTTTCAACACTCCCAAGTACAAAAATATCCTTTTTGTCATTAATCACTGCCAAACATATCTCTCTTTAAAAAATATCATTAAAAAAAAACAGTTTACAGTACACAGATGACAGGATGGAAACTTCAGTTTTACCCCCACAGTTACAGATTGAACATTCGCCGTCATACCTCTGACTCCATCCCTCCGGTGCAATAACACTGTACACTTACACCCCTTCACCCCGAAAACCACATTCATTTTACAACCATCAGTCAGATGAGATCACAGTATTCCATATTAGTCTCAGAGGTCAAGGATCATCACTAACACTTTCTCAGCAAAAGAACAGTATGAAATGTAAACATTTGGTATCAGTTAAGTCATTTGTAATCTTGTAGGCAGCAGGTAACTGTAAACATCAGTATGGTTTTGTTATTTTATTAGCACCACGGCATCATATAGCAGCACTGTGTCCATCACAGTTTAGTCGGTGTTAAAGTTGCAGTGCGCACGCACGCACACACACACACACACACACACACACACACAATCTTGTCAGAACACACTTTGTCAAATAAAACTATAGTAGATGTTCATCTAATAAAAAAAATACCCAAACATTCAAATATCACAGTGAAGCAGCAAGGAGGCTCAAAGTTCAACATGATTCACAGTTTAAAAAAATAACTTATGTACAGGTGGAGTATGACAAACGAAAAATGTCTTCATGGTTAACATCCACCATATTAACATAATTTGTTATCTATTAATTTAAAATGGTTAAAAATCACAAGAATATATCCCATCTGTGGACTCATGTGTAACCTGAGAGTATATGATCAATATTCATGTTAAATACAAACAATACAAACAGTTTAGATTAGTGGTTCCCAATTGGTCCAGATTTTTTTTTTAGCCAAAAGTTCAAGGTCCACACAGTAAAGGCCTTGTTTCCACCGAGCAGTTCGGTTCAGTTCAGTTCGTTTTTTTCTGTTTCCACAGTGAAAAGTTGTGGATGGTACCAACAGAACCGTTCTGTACCGTCCCCATGTTTGGTCACCCCTCTGTTGGGGTACCTAGCACACAGATCTGGTACTAAAAGGTGGAGCTGTGAACACTGCAGTCTGATTGGTCAGTAGAGGAAGGTCACTCTGCTCAGGGCTGAGTTGTGTCTGGTTTTGAGGCTCATGTAACCACTGTTCATACTGTGGAGAGTTTTATTAGTAAACTGTAACTATAAAATGAAAGGATATTTTGCTGCCTCTCACAGCAGCTGCAGTCTGGGTCTGGTCTTTTTTAGCCTTGCAAGCTGAAATGTGCTGCTTGTCAGTAGCATTCATGAGAAAAAAAGACAGGATCGTTAGTGCCTTTTAACTCCTGTCAGCGGAAAGGTTCAGGAGGAACATTAGCAGAGTTAGGCCACTAACAAGAGGAAGTATGATCTGCCTTTTTTGCAGCTCTAAGGCCACAGTGACTGGTGGCTGTGTACACAAACTGCCTGTGTGACACAATGCAAGAGACTCAAGTGAACAGCAAACAAAATGGCTCAGTGTCAGTGTTCCACAAAAACCTTTCTGTAAGCTGGCTTTCTGAAGTGGTAGGAGACTGCATAGTTCATTTATGTTCCACCAAGTTCTTATATGACATGTGGTGGGAAAAATACCTCTCCACACAAACACACACACATTCCTGTACATACTATACTATACTATATAAAACAATACCTCCCCTATCTCAGTTGCTGTGGTTCTGGAGAGGCAGGGGAAGATGATGAGGTGGAGGAGGTGGTGGAGGAGTTGGAGGTGGTCAAAGGAGGCAGCTCCTCACAGGCAAAATAATCCTTTAGAGGAGCGAAGAGGTGACGGATGACCGGCACGCTCCAGGCCTTCCCCAGAACCTTCTGCCTCTGCTGCCGGTTCATGTTCCTCACGTCCGTGTAGTGTTTGGGGAAACCAAAGATCCTGGTGGAGAACAAGGAAGAAATCACGTACTGTATGTTAGCTCAAGTCTCAGTGTGCTATATGTTTTCTTTTATCATGATGACAATTTAGCGAATCACCGGTCATTTGTACACACACGCATGCACACATGTATGTACACACACACACACACACACACACACACACACACACACACTCTTAAACCCTTTAACTGATGCTTACTTTTCTAGTTCAGTGATCCAGAGGATGTCCTCTTTGCCGTTCTGGATGACAGGCAGCAGAGACACATCTTTGCCCTGCTTCAGAGAGTTTGGATTGGTGGTGATCGTCCTCACCTTCGTGACCTGGAACAAAAACAGCATGAAGTGAGTCATTATTTGTACCTTGATATACAGTGTTGTCATAGTTGTTTAGGAAAAAAGACACATTAATTCCCTAAAACAGAGGGACTAATTGAATAAAAGTGAGCCAGCAGGTTCAGTCACTGACCCTGGCTTCTCTGCCGATCTCTAAACAGTCCTGGAGATTCAGCTTGTCGTTCTGGGACGCTGTAATGGGCCTGATGGAGGATGAGCAGAAAACAGGCAAGTAACCTTTGTTATAAACTTTATCCTCCGCTTTTCAACTTCTAAAAACAACACAGAAGTTCCAAGATGAAGGAATAAGAAAAGAGGGAAATAAAAGAGACAAAAAATAATATAATATATAAAAGCAAAATGACTGTTACAACACTTAAACAGACAAATAATTAGCAAAAACTATTGAATACTTAACAATACTTGACACCAATTACTCCAGCCAAAAAAACAGAGTGTGAAACCATTACTCTTGAGTAATTTAACCCTTATATTTCATGTTTAATTACAAGTCTCACCTGCTCATCCCTGGGATGTTTCCCCAGAAGTAACGTGATCTGTGAGCAGGGCTAACTTTGACTGCATCCACCAGCACTGGGTTACACTGTTGAGAACAATCAGATACAAGCAACATTTATTCTCTTGGAGTTCAATACATTTAATGTAAGTCAGAGAAAAAGAGGTAGGAAGGAAGAGGTGGGAAGACAACATGCAGGGAGAGGAGAGGAGAGGAAGAAGTAACAGGATAAAAGGAGAGAAGAAGAAGAAGAGGAGGAGGAGAGCACTTAGGAGCTAAGATCCACTAGAAACCAAACACAACTCAAAACGTGAACCTCAAGGAAGCGGCAGATGTTGACTTTGTCATGCGTGTTCATGAAGACCACATTCTCAAACAGCCAGAAGAACGGCCTGGGGTCTTCCTCTTTAGGCTTCAGCAGCTGGAGGATGCGGTAGTACTCGAAGAACAGCCTGCCAGTTCCCTCTGCAGGAGAGAGGAGGGAATCACAGCTTAGATCAATATCTTAAACTAGTTTCAAACATGAATATACAGCATCTGCATAACAACTTGTCTTTACAAAAAGTTTTTTAAAAAAAGTATGTGGAAGTAGCACTGACTGGTTGGCATTTTAACTTGGTGCTTATGAACACAATAATTAATCAATTTATGTTGATTAATTGATTAAGTAATCAACATAAATTGATTAATTATTGTGTTAATCAATTTATGTTGACAGTGAATATATTTAAAGCTGACATGGATACAACATAGTTACATACCATAGAGGCCTTTTCTGAACGGGTTGACGATGGAGAGGTCGTTACAGGGGCTGCCACCAATCAGCAAATCAAACGGACCCCACTCCTCGATCTTGATCGTACAAGAGGAACAAGAAAGTGGTTAAGTTCAGTATTAGGCTAATTTTTCATTTCAGTTACAAGAGAGAAACTAAAACAAACAAATGATTTCAATGGGACAGATATACAAACAATTTCAAACAGAGAAATATGAAGGAAGGAAGACGAATATTTACATTTCAAATTGTTCATGACGATGTGAATATATGGAAAAAAGAACATACATGTTCCTGGGTGATGTACCGGGCGTCACCAACATGGATGATCTTCCCATCGTGATTGATGGCCGCCACAGCAAGTGAATCCTCACAAACCTCTGAGGCAACATATTTCTCCACTTTGAAGCCGAGATCCTTCAGCACCAGGTAGCCTGAAAAAATACAGACACACTTATTCAGGCTGTAAACTTCTAACAGACATCTATTTCAATCCATCTTTTTTTTATTCTACCAAACTACAGCCGCCAAACGAATCACAGCGCAGAGGGAAACATGCCTTCACCGCTACTTCACCTGGCACCACTGAGCTAGCCCACATTGCATCTCAGCAGAGGAGGACGCCATGAATGTTTACATCCTGTGCAAATGCTCTTAACTTCTGAAATCGATTGTTATTGGGGAAACAAGGCCCAGGTGGGTGAACTCACCTGTTGCTATGCCATCAAACAGTGAGAGAACTCGGAGCGGTCTGCGCAGGTTTGCAGGGATGGATGGGTAAACACGATGAGGCTCCTACAAAATAAAACAAAAAGCAATGTGGCAGCTGAGTTAATTAATGGAAACCTGTGTTTGAGGGAAAAAAATGAAATTCAATTCTGCTGATAGTTTGTTTTTGCTTATTGAATAGTTATTTTGCCACCACAGTTCACAAGACTAAGATCTTTATATGTGCAATTTGTGTATTTCACTATTAACGTCCTCCTTTTGTCGCAATTTTGTAACATTTTTTCTAATTTTTTCTTTAGTGTATATAGATTTTAGTACCTTTTATTTGTTCATATATCTTTTGAAGATTATTTTTTGTCTTTTTACACCTTTATTAAATAGACAGGAAAGGGTAGGAAAGAGGGTAACACATGCAGCAAAGGGCCACGAGCTTGGAATCGTACCCAGGCTGCTGCTAAGGACTCAGCATATATTAGTTAACCAGGTGAGCAATTCTTATACCAAGGTGTATTTATGGGTTGTCTGCTAAGACAAATTTAATGTATTTTATAAACACTTTTTTTATTTCCATCTGAAACGTACCCCATCACAAATCTACTGTAAATTTAAAAAGTAAATTTAAGATCCTACCTTTAAAACCACATGACTCTGATTTCTGGACACAATAAAAAAGAATAAAGAGCAAAATAAGAGTAGATACCAAAACCAGAAGTTTAGTGAAATAAAGCAGATTAGCACTAAACAAGTATTCAAATAATTAATTTTTGGATTAACAGAAAATTAACTGACAACTATTTTGAAAATCAATTAACCATTTAAGATGTTTTTTTTTAGGCAAAAACGGCTTTTCTCTGTTTTTCATCATCTTAAATTGACATGTTTCACTATTTTCTGATTCTCTTTTATAAACAACACAAATAATAATGAAAATAATTGGCAGAATGACTTGAGAAAATGACAGTAAGTTGCAGCCCTAACAGGTAACTCAGCCATCGTAACATTTTTTTTATTATTAAGAATGTAAACCACGCACAAATTACCTTGTTATTGCATAGTGGTGGATTAATACTCACAGACATTTTAAAAGATTAAAAGAGCAGGGGATGCATTGTCATTAAAATGTTTTAAAAAGAATCACTCACAAACTCCATGCCACTGTTGTTGGCAAATAACTCCTGAACACGAATGCTCCAGTCCTGTCTGGGAGTCAGAGCACCGTGGGGTTGATGAGGCTGACACAAGTAGCAGTTCCACGGGTCGAGCAGCTTCAACGCCTCAAACGTCCCCGGACTGACGAGGATGTTCAGACAATCTGCGCAATATGATCTGCAAATATAAAGGAGGAGAAGAAGAAGACGGGATGGAAACACAATTAAACAAAGGGGAAAACCTTCCATCTTTACCTTTTCTTTAGATAGCGATTACGATGTACAGAATGAGATGAGCGGACCAACCTGCTGCAGCTATCGTTGCCACACAGTATGACCTCCATGCCGTAGCAGCAGATGGTACAGTAGGACTGATATCCATCCTCATCGTAACGATACAGAGTTTCTCTTAAGTTATCCTACACGGACACAGACAGCATCACAGACAGTGGTGAGGGAAAGTTAGAAAGACTTATAGCTGGGGGAGTCATGAGTTTTCAAAATATGATTAGAATGTGGATTTTAAGGTCACGATTTGATGTAATTTTCAATTTAAACTCTTTTTTTTTCTGGACTGAAGGCTTTGGAATTGTTAGACAAATGAATCTTGATTTGTTAAGATTGACAGGTCATTGGTTTTATTCTTATTTAATTAAAAAGATAGACTCCATGGTATCAGGTGTGATATAACTGCCATATTCTTTTGGGGAGGTGGAATATACCACACGAAGGCTCTATGGTCACATTTAAATAATTTATTTAAAAGGGTAATAATAATAATTTATTTCACCTGTCAGCTGGGAACAAACTGTTAAACACAAAACGGTACCTTAAGTATCATTTTCTGCTTTTTTCCCAGTCATATCTATTTCTCTATGTTGCCTGCGAATATGTCCTGCCATATTTGCCTGTCACTGACTGTATATAAAGATGAACGGCACAACAGCTCCCCCATGAGTGAGGCCAAAACATCTCCATCGGCCCCTGGTGACTGACTGCAGATTCGGTCATGAATCTCACCCCCACCATGTTTGTGGATGGAACATGGGCCAAACTAAAAGATCTACAGTATCACATTAAGTACATTTTTTTCAAAGATGGTTTCTGTCATTTTAGGCAGTTCTTTTCTTACTGAGGTATATTCTATTAATTAATATAACTTTTAATTAGTTATTTGATGCTATGAAAAGGGGGTGTGACGTCAAGACTGACAGCTGTATGTGCCAAACACTGTGCACCCAATCGATAGCGCTGCTCGCAATTGGGTCAGACAGGTGTACAGCCTCGAGCTAGATACCACGCGGCTCCACTTCCTAATCACTGCTGTGCTCTGGCTCCAAATGACATCACCAGTGATAGATGGCAGCGTCTGTATCCGGGATATTTTGGCTTCATATTTGCATCGCTGCAGGAAGTGTGTAGTGTGTGGTCGTAACATAAAGAGAAGCAGATGTGTCCTTACTTTGCACTCCAGACAGAGGCTGCCTTTAAACAGAGGGTGGTGAATCTCAACTTCTTCAGTTCCACAACACAAACAGAAGCCTGCAGACAAAATACAAGCATACAAATGATTGACTGAAGGAGTGATATCATCTATACAGATCCAAAATGCAAATATAGCTTCATAAGATAGCATGCTTATTATACCTCAACATCATCATCATCATCACATAGAAGCTTAATGAGAGATACTGGAGGATTACAATACTGAGCACAAGCAAACACAGCCACTACTCAACTGGCTGATCATTTCACCAGTTACCACTACAAAATAAAAACTTAATGCATAGAAGAGAATGAATTCAGAATCAAAATGAAAGACAATACGCCTCAACGCTCACCGTCTATGTCCAGCTTCATGTCCATGATCCGACGAATGGTCTCCTCTGCAAGGACAGAAAACGATAACTGACTGATAATGGTCAAACACATCAACAACTTAAACTCTCTGATTCTCTTGCATGGATAAATTAAAACATGTTGCATTATTCAAACCAGTTCTCACGTAGAGTTGTAGCTAAGTATTTGCAGCCGGTAACCAACTGAGAAAGCTCACATGTGTACCATTACATGCTCAACAAACACAACATCATATAGGTTAAATTATACAACTTTCTGCCTACAATGTTTGAATAAATAACCAAATAACATCAGTTAAACTGGCGTAAGTCCACATTTCCTCAACTTGATGAATGGACATGCTGAAACATTTCTCCAGGTCACATAATGGAATAAAATGATTCATTTCAGCCCGTAAAATTGCTTGTTTTTTTTGTCATGTTTCAGCTTGTGACGCTTTTGACTCCCCGTTTACACAATTGATTGCATTTGATTGGACATCATGAGCAAATGCTTGATGCATTTAAAGTATTTACCAGCTAAGAGATTCCTTAACTTTTGATGTTGCAGTCTGATTAAGTAGTTCAGTTGTGAAAACAGTCAGTGAATCAAGCGGTGGTTATTAAGAACTAAAGGACTTCATACACAAAGAAGGCCAAATAGATCCTAGATCCAGATCTAGATACATTTTGTTTGCAAATCATGTTAATCTTGTGATTTCCCTCAGTCATTGAAACATGTTTGGTATCAAATACTTGTAATTCAAATTCATGTTTAAAAGGCAGAATCTGCCACCTTTTTTGTGGACTTCCCATCAGTGTTAATGGTTAACATAGTGAAAGGAAGCAATGCATTCCTCAGTGCACACTCCACTGACAGAGAAAGGGCCAGCAGTGCCTTCATGTACCAGGATGCATTTCACGCAGACTTCTGACTCCTTCTGACAATCTACCACACTTACCTTCAACACTGATTCAAAATACATATAAAAAAGTGATGAATTGTCCCTTTAATGACAGAATTAAATTGTGTGTGGTACCTCTGAGTTTTTGGTCCGGCTGGGTGTAGGTGCTGGTTGGCGCATGGACCTTATTGTAAGATTTGTTGTAGGTCCTCTTCTTGTAAGGCACAAAGTCTGGTGACATGTCGTCATCAATTCCATCAAATAGACTAAATTTCTTCTTCTGAACCTTCCCTCCTTTACCCCTTCCTCTGCCCGCTCCTTTCCCCTTGTCCAACCCTCCTCCCCAGTCATCTCTCTCTCCCTCCCATCCTTCCTTCTCTTGTCTTCCCGTCTCTGCTGTGCATCCTCCTCTGGATCCCTTCTCCTTCAGGACTCCTCTGGGGCTGTTCTCTGCAAAATCAAATTCTTCTTGCCATGCTTCCCATGTTTTTCCACCTCCACCTCTGGGGGAGGACTTCTCCATTAAGCTGCACTGCGGTTTGGTCGTCGAGACTGACATTTCTTCTGGCTCAATGTCGCTGATGTTGCTCTTGCTGGAGGAGTTGAAATTGGAAGAGGAGCTGGCCTTCTGGAAGGGCTTCTGCCTCACCTTTGGTCTGCTGTTTGTTTTAGTAACATCTGTGCAATAGACAATCATATATGTGGCCATCAGATATTTTAAACAGTAAACAGTTACCCTGATATGTACAATGTTTGTCACATCTCCTGTCTTGTATCCATTTCAGTCTGTGTGGCTGTTTTACCTTACAAAGACGCTACCAATTATTATCTGGCTTCATTCTAACTTCCAAAGACAATGATGGCGCACTTCTACAACGCCATCACTGACTCCAACACCATCTGTGATGTGGCTCAGACGGTAGAGCGGGTCGTACAGTAATCAGAAGATCAGTCTGCATGTCGAGGTATGAGCAAAATACTGAACCCCAAATTGCTCCCAATGGCAGTTCCATCGGTGTGTGAGTGTGTTAAAAACTGACTGGCACCTTGTATGGTAGCCTCGGCCACCAGTGTGTGAATGGGTGAATGTGACTCATAGTGTAAAGAGCGCTTTGAGTGGTCAGATGACTAGAAAGGTGCTACACAAGTGCAGGTCCATTTACCATCTGGTACACAGCTGCAACAGCCAAGGACAAGGACAATCTGAAAGGGTGATTAGCTGCAAACTCCCATCCTGTAAGCCTGCAGGATCCTCCCCTCCACCACCACCACCACCACCACCACGAGGCTGCGATTCATCAGGACTAAAACCTCATCAATAAGATTCAAAACCCTCACTGGCAGGACTATGTTGTTTGCACCACACGCTTTCATTTTTATTTTCTCTTACCGTCTTTATTGTTATGTACCAAATTACCAAAGCAAATCCTTGTATGGACCGTTTCATTGCTATTCTGTTGCTAGGACAACAACTTTGGTCCCTGTTACTTCCTGTCAGCTTCTGCATTAACATAAATTCAAACAGGAAATACAAAGGGACCCATTTAGAATGTTTATGTTGTCCAGTTTGAAACGGTCTATATTGAAATCTAATTGGCAATAAACCTGATTCTGAGGAGCTCAAGATCCTACATTTGAACTCTAGTGTGCTTTTTCTTGCACAGTTGTGTTTGAGGAATATTACTGTGAGCTTGGTTTAAAAGTTGGGAATCTGTGAGCAACACAGAGAGCTGAACTGATGGGACTAGTCTTCTAGAAGTGAGAGAACCTTTGTAACAATGCCAGTATACTAAAAAAAAAAACCTGCCTTAGAACACAGATTGCTCAAACGTTAATCTCACTTCAATCCATTTAAGAAATGAGTTTTTAATATACAAAAACATGGAAATAAATATATAATACGTTTAAATTCTGTTAAGTGCTCCGAGTTTAACTCTGAGAAAGACTCATTTCACCCACTGCAGTGTGGAATTAATACCTGTCCCACCATTCACACATATGATCAATTAGTTACACTAATCGACAGTAAATCTTTTCAAGCTTTTCATAGTTCAGATGTTCATACAATTTGTGGCAGCTGTTGGTTTGAGTCCATCTGGTCCCTCGGGTTGAAAGCCTCCAAAGGCCCAGTCTAACATTTGTTTCAGCAGCTCATCTCTGTCCCCGAGTTGTGCTGAAAACTGCTTCTTACAACGCAGAGCTGCCTCCTGATGAGACATACAAATAAGCATGTAAGCAGGAGAGCAAGTATGCATCATATATTAACACTTTCTCAGTTATATGACCCTTTTGATCCTGTTTATGTTAATCAGAGAACAGAGAGAGACACACAGACCTGAAGGGACAAGAAGATGGCTTCTCGGTAGGTGATGAGAATGGCACAAGACTTCGAACAGAAGTTCTGGGTGAAGGCAGCGAATGGTTTCAGAGCCTGCAAAGCGACCTGGAATAGGAGAGGAGAAATCAGAGCAGAAGAACAAAATAGATAAAACACTAATATATATCAGTAACTATTCAACTTTCTGCCCTCTTGCGTTTCCGGGTGGTGTTACTGTTTGCCCTCACAAAGACAACCGCTTACTGTTTTCCTCAGAGCCTGGCAACTACTACCAGAGTTTCACCTATACTTATAAAAGTATAGGTAATAAAATAATAACAGGGAGGCTCCATAGTCTGTAACCAAATGGCAAACTTTTTGCTGCTTCACACACACTGTCAACAGTAGTGTATTACAGCTCCACTCACAATTCTATAGCCATTACATTGTGCAACCAACTTTACTTCATAACGATAAGTTAAAGCAAAATCTTTTCTATTTCCACTTTAAATTGAAATTGAAGATCTGACATTTTGATGATGTTTCCTGTTCACGCCGTCATGTTAACACTGTAGTCTGTGTTGTTACTGTAACTCATCTGGTACCAAACATGGAGATCCAGTGGTGAAAATGAGAATCATTTATGTACATTATTTTGTACTGTAGTGTATAAACTTTTCATCCGACTCACCTGAGAGGACATGTTCTGAGAGTACCACTCCACCATCCTCGTCTCTGGATTTGGATTCTCTTCATTGCACGGTATAATGATTGCTGGCCAGGGAGAGAAGAACTCCACCTGACCCCAGACCAGCTCACCCACCGCATACTGTACAACAAATACACACACACTTTTACATGCCACCAAACAACTGTGATGGTGTGACTAACACTGTGTTTTTGTACTCATTTGAATGGGCATGAAACATTTGCTAGCTGAAACATTATTTTAAGTATAACACATACACTGTATGTATAAGTTATCAGCGCTACAAATTACTGTCAACTCAACACCGTAGTAATATGAAAACCCTTACAGTAGGTTTTTCGGCAGGGGTGGGCTGTGTGTTTGTGTAAACCACGTCATCATCAGTGTCATCACAGCTCACAATGACTACATGCTCTTCCTGTTGAGCTCTTTGACCTGCAAGACCTGAAGGGTATATAACATATAAACATTAAAAAAACAATAATGACAAGGCTCTGCTTCTGTTCATCTTGAGGTGACTCACTGCCATGATGTTGCTTATACTATTCCCACATTAATCAAGACTATGTGTCATCTTAAAACACAATACAGCTCTCAAGTATTGTGCATGGTCGTATGCTGTAAGCGTCTGCTTTAATGCATGTTTATGAAGGCAGCTGTCATGGATGAAATGCATATAATGAAGAGGACTCTTACCCCTCACAACACTGAGTTTGGAGGACGAAAGATGCCAAAATAGGAAAAAATAAAATAAAATTAAAAAAACTGAATCAATTAAATTAATGTCATCAAATGGACCAAAATATTAAAAATAAATGTAGTCAGAAATTAACTGATATAAAGTAACAGAAATTGTTTCATCTTTTAAAAATGATTAAATACAATTATAAATGAATAAAACAAAAGCACACACAAATATAAATATATTTAAAAATATATAATAAAATGAGCAACTAAATGGAAAAATTACACAGAAATTAAAATGGAGAAAAAAAAATGAAATACCCATTGACGTCACACTTCTTAATTACTTACTGCTAACATTAATTTAAAAATTACATTTGGTGTGCTTATATGGCATGTTTATGTATTTATCAAGTCATTTATTTATTATTTGCTTCCGTCCTCCATAATTGTGAGCCTACAACCACAAAAATAAAACTAGCCCTTTTACTAGATTCTGAACAATATTACACGTCTTACTTTGTGCTTTTATCAGTCTGCTGGTCATTTTGGAATCTTCGGTGACATCAACCACATCTGATGAAAATAGAAAACAGTCACATTGGTTAATATTATCAACACTTGGAACTGCTGTTTGATTTACGGCATTAGTGAAATTTTTCATGTTGATGAAGCTGTTGCAGAAACATAAATGATATAGCATGCTTCACTCTCACAGTCACAGCAGGCACTTGACAGACTTACCAGAAGAATTGTCTGTGTTTTCCGAGTCCTCTGCACTACTGGAGCATCTGGGAGGAAGATGCAGTCTGGGTTTGACCTCAACATCATCGTCATCCTCTTTTTTTACTTCTTTCTCCTCTTTCTTCTGTTCTTCTCTTTCTTCTCTTCTCAACTTCTTGCTATCATGACCTGCCTGATTTGGGTGCCTTATTTTCTTGATGCGGGGTATTCCTTCCCAACTGCATGGCTGCAGTGTGGCTTTGAGGGTTTCCTCGCTGTTAGGAAGAGCCTTGTTGAACACCTAAAGACAGCAGTAAATGCAAACACACAAATCTCTTTATGTTTACAACATAACCACGACATCAAAGAACAGAACATATGCTGAATGAACAGAAATGAAACACATTAAAGGATAGATCCACTTTACAGTTTTAATATCATCCTGTAGCCTCCAAGTGTGTTCCTTAGGTAATACAATCCAAATAACCCAATCCTGACTGAGGCACATACGTTCTAGCATCAAAATGTTATTTTCCTAATCCTTTTTAATGTTTTCCCACATGACCCAAAGTGGGTGACATGATGACATTGCTACATATAAACCACCGCGCCTAAGCAGTGAAAATATCACATTAAGCATGTTGTTTTTGTGGGGAAAATGTGTCCAACAAAAGACAAGTGTTTGTCTGTGAATACTGCGAGTTATACTGAAGCTGATTTGTGTACCTGTGTTTGAAATTGTTGCTATTAAGCCATGTTTAATGTGTGTTTAATGTGTTTTTTGAATCAACTTTACAGCACTTCACAGAAACCATGATGCCGACTAGTGTTTTGGAGGTGTAACTGCAGAGTGACACAGACACACCACTGCACAAGTATAAATGCTCACAATGGCATGGGCCACGTGCGTACGCTATAGCATAGACTCTGCATAGAGGTCATGCACAAATATAAATCCCGCTTTAGACACAAACACGTTGGGAAAATAAGGTCTAGTTTGAAAAATACTGAAATCTCCATGTAAAACATACCTTAGAAAATACCTGCGTCCTGCAAAGAGAGCTTGGCAAGGCCAGGATGATCAGCAAGAGTTTACGCAGAGCAGACTGCGGCCTCGTGGCATGCAACATCTGTACAGACAAAACCAGCGACTCTAGTAAAGACACTTCATATCAAATGGCAATGTTTCTAATGCAGCTACTGAATTAGCATTAGGTTTACCTTTGCCCAGCAATGAATCTGTTCCTGTCTTACTGTCCGAATGAAACTGGTGTAGTCTTGGTAGGCAGTGTGTAACTGACCTTGAGGAACCCCCAACTGAACCCCCAACTCTAACAGCTCAGGCTTGGACAATTTATTAACCTGAAGGAAAAACACAGATATCACAAGAAGCACATTAGAATAAATCAAGAATACAGACACAGAGGTTTACGTAATTAAATCCAGGAGTCTATGTCCAGAAAAAAAGTAATAAAACATTTCAATGACATTTGCCTAATGATGGTTCAATTAATATTAAGCTATAGCTAGCTGTTCTTAGTCTAATGTAGTATGACAAAAATAAATCTACTTACATTGATGTTATCAGAATGTTTCAGCACTCGGCTGATATTCCTCAGCGCCACCTCTCCAAGATGCTCAGGAAGACTCTGCGCTAAACTCTGCAGTGCCGCTTTATAGAAAGCCGCTGCATCCCTCTGGAAATCCCTCCTCTCCTGTTCTCCCAGATCCACGACAGCGGTTGCCCACATGAATTCTCTGGCACGAGCACCTACTTGCACCATTGATAAGGGGAGCAGCTTGGAGGTGTTTTGGAGAAGGCGCAGGTCGCGGTTCCAGAGAAAGCGCTCTGCAACTGTGGGCCGGAGGAGACTGGCTGTGTAGGAGTGAACGAGCATGGAGGTCATCTGGAGCTCCATAGCCACGACAATTGTGCCGCTCTCCTGCAGCGCTTGGAGAGCTCGGAGCGGCTCCAAAATGTGGGAGAGGAATATAAAGCGTAGTTTGACTTTATGATCCATTAGCCGGGTTCTGATCTGGTTGGCATCCTCCGTTTGCCTCAGTGACTTAAAATAGTCCACTAAAAGCCTCCACTTGCTGGCTATGTTCTTCACAGCATGAATGATAAACAAACACTGTGCAGACATAGGATGAGACGGGTTATAAGACTCAGCAAATAGCCCTTTCAGATTGTCACTGATGGAGGGGCAGGTATAGAAGTGATAGTGGATGTCTCTAACCAGGTCAACCACGCAACTGAAGGAAGCCAAGAGTCCGGCCTGGCAGGCTCTTCCTGCCACCCCAGGATGGCCACAGAGTGATACTAACCTTGGACTGAACGCCTGGAGCTTGGATACAAACACCTTGCTCACCTTTGGGTGTGGAGCGTTGCAGTAAAACGCAGCAAGGTTGGGCAGAGGAAGTCCACATTCCTCCAGCTTCTCAATCAGAAGGCGTGCATCATTATCTGCAATTTCTGTGTCTGTGATCGTGTCAGAGTCCAAATCCACTGAGGTTTCTGAATCAACAGCATCAATGCTCATCTGCAGCATGAGTAGTGGCCTCACCACACTGACCCCTGATCTCTCATCAAAGTAGCCAACGAGGACGACACTCATGTTCCGTCCTCCACCCAGCTCCACACCCACATACAGGTAGAGGCAGTACGGCAAGCCTGAGCAGGTCTGAATGGTGTCCGTGAAGTGGTCTGGACTCAAGAGGGCAGCAATTTTTGTGTCAGAATCCCTAGCGTTTGTACTCGTATTTAGGTTTGCATCCACAGCGTCACTATAATATCTTCTGATGACTTCCAAAAAAGTATCACTGCTCCCTTCATTTCCTTCTGCCCCTGCTGTTGCTGCTGCTTGCTCCACTTTCATCCCCTGCGCCTCTTCTTTCACAGTTGTCTCCTTTTCCTCTGTTTTCAGCTCCACTTCCACAGCCTTCACATCATCATCATCATCATCGGATATTAATACTATCATATCTGCCTTCTTGTCCAAACTCTTTTTGCCCTTCATCTTCACAATGATCTCCAGTTTCTGAGGAGGGGGTGGATGACCATCTGTAAGACACGATAAGATGTAATGTTGCAAGCTTCATATTCCAATTAAAGTAAAGAAAGACACTTTATCATTCGGACAGAAGTTTCCATAGGACTTGGCTATCACATCGGAATATTTGACTATTTGTTTCTTTTTTTTTTTTCACACAGACTTTGAGTCTTTGAACGGATATTCAGGGTTACAGTGTCGTAAACGAGGCAAGTTAGCCCTCCAAGCTAATACAGACTAACTCTGCAAAGTTTTGCCAACACTACACATATAACAAAATCCAGAGACTGTATCGTGGTAAGTTGCTGTGCGCTGTAAACGTACCACTTATAAGAACAAGGCTCAGAGCCTGACCGGGCAAAGCCTCGCTTCTTCTACGCAGCTACCTCTGTCTCATTCAGACTCCACCTGGGTCTGGGTCTGCAGCTGCCTGTACCAGAGGCAGATCTGCGAATCCTAGGTGAGCGAAGGAATGACCTGCCCTGCTCTTCCTGTGATTGGCTAGTACTTGCCTTTGTTGGTTGGATTGATTAAGCTTAGACAAGAGGAGTGAGACTGGTTAGGATTAGGGTCAGAAAGTCAGGGTGAGCCATTGAGAGGTAGAGTAAGGCGGGACATTTCTTCTCTATCTATCCCAGGTCTGAACTGGTCTTTTAATCACCAATCTGTATTCAATATTCAACCTTTTCACACATTGTTGGGTTAAGATGAAAAAAGTATTCATTGGGGAATTATGATATGATTTATACATATACATATTTTCTTTATTTTATTTTTTCTGCCATTTCAGTTTTTGTATTAACTATGGACATTTAGGCATGTTAATTTTGGTGGATTTGCACTGAAGCTCACAATGATCTGCACCTTACTGTGTGCACCCGAAACAAATCATAATTTAAGTCTTACTGCTTTGTAAGTGTGACAAATTGACAACTGATATACATTTTAATCAACCACACCTTTGCTATGTAGGATATCTCTGTAACAACTGTGTGATTCACACACTTCTCCCACCTGAGTCAGCAGGGGCCATTCTCTGTCCACCTCTGGCCTCCAAGGCATGGTACTCCCTGCCCTCGGGTTTGTTCTTGTCAAAGAACGCCTTAAACCACTGCAGGAAGCTGAGAGACGTCTTGGAGTTCCTCTTCATCAGTTCCTCGACGGGGATGTGCTGGAGAGAAGGAGTCCAGTTTAAGTCTCATACTTGATGAGTTTATAACCAGTAAACAAAATATTTTCAAGTTTAAGGTGTGTTTCTATATGCAGGTTTAATTAGAATAGACAGATCTCTTGAATATTACTATCAATCAGAAAACATTTTCAAATAGTTATCCGCTCTATAGCTCGACCAATAATGAATTTTAGAAGCTGATATTAAGATCAATATTTCAGCGATATGTACGCCAATATTCCTTGTAAAAATAAACACACAACATGTGCAAAAACTGTGGATAGAGATCATTTTAATGTTTCTTTTTTATTGTGATCAACATATGTGCGGAGTGCAACACTTGACAGTTGGACCATAAACGTGTCAGTGCTTTCATGGTAACAAAATATGGAGTGAAACTGTTTCTAAACTACCTTTGTTACACTCAGCCATAGGTGAATGTAAAACTAACTTGTGCTGTGCTGCTCCTCAAGCTTTCTGGGCCTCAACCTAAGCTCCTCCTCCCCTCTCTTGTGCCATTGGCTGGTGGAAGCTGGGAACATGGAGCCAATCAGTCTGTCTCGAGTATATAAAGGCTGAAGAGCTGCGCTTCTGGCTTTCTGTTTTGCTGCCATGTGTTGGAAGGCCACTCCAGAGATCTTTATGACTTTTTGTAAACTTAAGAAGGCAAAGGCTGTTGTTGGATTAATCTGTGTTCAAGTGCTGTTACTTGCTGAGCCAGTCTTGACCTCTGTCAAACTACAGTGACCTGTAAAACAAGCCATGTTGTTGTTAAATTTATTTTTGTGAGACTTATCTCAGGCTTCATTTGTCCTAATTTACAACCCTAAAGTTCATTGCTAGGAGTCTCTGTAGGGGAGAGCTGCCAGTTTTGTTACCTTCCTGTTCTCCTGTTTTTTCATGTTTGGTTTGGGAGTTAGCTAAATGATTGTACTTTATTTTTTCTGGCAGTTAGCTACGGGGCTTGACACTAACTTTTTTCCCAAGGAGCACATGTGCTCCTAAGTTGAAAAAGTAAGGAGCGCACAAAGAACTTGGGGGCACAATGTAAATTGATCAAATAATGTGTTTTCCGTAATAAACGTGATGCAAATAGACATTTACAAGCAAAATTATTTAATGAATTTGTATACAAAATGTACAGAAAGGTAAAATCATAAAGTTTTGAAAAAGTATTGCAATTTAATTTTGTCTTTAATGTTATTATCTTATATATATTATCTTTGCAATATGATTATCTTATATAATGTTATTACTATCCTAAAACATTCTCCAGGTCCTCTGAAACTCTGCAGGACTTATTTCCACCCTGCCCAGCAGCGGTACCGTGGCAAACGGTCCCTAACTGCGGGGAGAACAGAGCAGGCTTCCTGGAGGTCCACCGCTTTTCCCGGTCCCTCTTCTCCACCACACTTTGACTTATTCCCACCCAGCGGACAGCCTGGCCATGGAGAACGGTCCCTAACTGCAGGGAGAATGGAGCAGGCTTCCCCAGAGGTCCGCTGCTTAACCCGGTCTGTCTCCTCCGCCACACTTTGACTTATTTCCACGCTGCAGACAGTGGGACTTATATTCACTGTGCCGACAGTGGCTTGGAAAACCGCCCATAACCGTGTCACACGGGGAAGAGGGAAGGCTGCTGGAGTTCCTCCAACATTTGCGGTTAGATTATCATATTTTTTTTATTGACAAAAATATAGGCTGCTTCGGCTGATTTTTTTATGCGCACATGTGCCCCTAAATATTTTTTACAGTTCGCACTCACCTATTTTTAGTCGTAAATGCGAGTGAAACGCTAGCACTGTCGAGCGCTGTAGCTAGCTCTGTGGGTTTGTTTGTATTTAGGGCTATTTTGTTTGTTATGTTGGCCACGGCTTTTACGCTTCCATAACTTGCAGTAAAATGTCTTGATTTGTTGAGGGCCTTGAAATTGTTTTTTTTTTTGTACTTTATTTTGATATAAAGAACAAACACAACATACAGTAAAAAAAAAAAAACCATAGAACAAACAGTTGGTCACCTACACATTCATACATACGTTATACTGATGGAGATACAAGTCAGTTCATACAGTAATGGCTCAGTTATCATCTCTTGTGGTCACAAACATAATCCATTTTTCCCAGTATTTCAAATACTTATCCATCCGTAGACTTAGCGAAAAGGTCATCCTTTGCATATTTTGAATATTAGTCACAATATCTATCCAGTCTGGCTCTGTTGGAGGTGTCGCCTGCAACCATTTTCGGGTTACAGCTTTCTTGCTGGCTGCTAATAATATTTTTGAAAGATATTTGTCTCACATCAGTACATGGGGTGCAATATTGCCCAAATAGATTGTAGGGCCTCGAAATTGTTTTATTGCCAACCTAATGTTGCAGCATGATTAGCTAACCACTGCCAGCTGTGTGACAAAAGTGTGGCCTATAGAACAGATCAGTGCACCTGTGTCTCAATATTATTGTTGATCTTGAGAAAGGCCCAAGGGCCAAAAAAACATCAAAATAAAAAATGCATATAGAGCCGGAGTGTGCGACACTTGTTCTCTACAAACAATACTTACTCGTAACACTCCAACTTGTCTGAATGCAGCTTGCAGTAAACTGTAGTTGTGGATAACGTCCACCTCATCGTTGCTTTGGAACCGAACCCTGGAGAGGTCCAAGCACTTAGGAAACAACCAGTCCATCAACTGGCAATAGGCTGCACCTGCACACACAGAAGCAATCAATAATATGAAGCCAAGTGGGCTCAGAGCACAGCTCACCATCCACAGACCTCAAATATTCACAAAATATGTACTATAACAGCATAACTCATGATTATGTGTTGATTTAAACATGAAAAACAGAAATGCACATTGACCTACCTGTGCATATCTGCTCCACCTTGGTGAAGCCCGTCTGTAAAGTTTCATTTAGCCAAGCCAGCAGCTCATAGCGGTCCTGCAGCTTAAAGCTATACATAGGTACATTTACTGCCACATTCAACTCCATCTCCTGAAGATATGGACCTGCACAAGAACACCACACCAATATGCCTTTAATGATCAAATCAGTGAGTTTGAGTCAGAAGTCACGTTCCCTAACGTGTCACAGATATTTGTGTGTTTCCTGACATTTCATGATGTGGAATAAAATGTGACAAATATGTGACTCCCACGTTTTTGAAATAAATTCTGGGACCTGATTCAGGAACAGGTTTAGTGAAACAATGAGTTTGTTAACACTGAGATGAGGGAAACTAGAAATACAGGTAAGTCAAACTCTGGGTCAGCAACTGTGGTAACTGACTGTGAACCTAAGCTTCTCGCTGGCAGGTTTTCTTCAACAAACCCTGAGTTTCTCTGTGTTTCCTCCCTCTTACAGAGCCAGACATGCTGTTTTATTTTCTCACTGATTCAATCCACATAAAAGCATGCATCAAGGTGCATCAATTAGCAGATGTTTACTGTATGTCAGAATCAAAATCTTGGTTAAAAATTAGTTTGTTACTCAGGACTAAAGTTATTCCTTGCTGTCAGTCACTTCTTTGAACGGCTGTTTTGGAAATATTACACATCACCCTAGTCTCAGAATAAACTTCTACATGTCCCTCTTTTTTAATAACACTGTGACTGTTATGAAGTTTTAGACACACAGGATCAATAAATAACAATCTCTATCACTCATGATGTGATCAGTCACACTAATGGAACAAAACTCCTGTAATGTTGGAGATTTTAATACTTCTGAGTGACCAGGATTGTGGGGCAGCTGCAAAATGTAGTTTGAAAGTGAGTTTTGAAAAATGGCTGCATACAATCTGAAGTTTTTTTCACAGCATTTCAGTGACTGTGTTGAAAAAATTACCCTTTCTGAGGTAGCTAGAATAAAGCCGCTGAATTTAAAATCTCCTGTATTATAACCATGGCGCCCTTTTAAGTGCAAATCACCAACCATGTTATTACTGGAAAAGATTCTGAGCTTACAATCATGTCTCTATCTTTGATCTATATATATTATTAATCTTCAACTACATTTTTTCATCTTCAGCTGCTGTTGTGTGTGATTTGTCCCCGTCAGACACTGTTGGAGGGTTTTACAACTCACGTCCACTCCTCACTAGTTGGTTTGGGATGGCACTCAATGTTTGTTAAAGCTGAGTACTGAAACAGGACTCTGGGCTCTGTGTTAGTGAAAAACGACACGACAACGAACAGCTCTACTTACATTCCAAAACCTTGTCTCAACCTTGAACTACTGTTCTGTCGGCAGACTTGTGACATTACCAAATCCTGGAAAGATAGCAGCCAGCGATAGAGTCGTATACACTATTGTGATTGTGCAGGATTCTTCTTCTTTTAGGTTTAGGGCGGGTGGCAACAGCGTTAAGGTGCATTACCGCCCTCTGCTGTGTTGGAGTAGTGACCAGAGTTAACAGTCTTCCTACACTGATGTCTGATACTTCTTCACGTTATCGAGAATTATTTTGGTGAAACAAAACTATGTAACACTGACTCTGCTTGACAGTGTTCACATGATCCCGAATGATGTTTATTTATAAAATACGGGTATGCTGTGTGGACTACTTAGTACTTCCTGCCCATGTGCAAGACAGGCTTTTCCCGCGAACATGCTGCGTTCAATTTTTGAGTAAGTGCAGTTTATGGCGGACTCACTGGATAAAATGCAGGCTATGACTAGTCATCTCGGGCTTTGGTGATGTGCTCCAGTCTACGTGACTCCTTTCAAATCCCTTTCATGGGGTCGTGTCTGCTGTGTGAGCAAGAACCTCAATGATCGCCCCCCTGTTGTGGTATTCATGACTTCGCTAGTGGTATTTTTCTGAGAGGTCCGAGGTTAAAATACACGACATCACATGTCGTAAACATGAGCTCATGAGTTCCCTTTGAACACATAGGTTGTTCCCAATCAGCAGCTGACATGGTGTAAGATTATACACTTGTGTCACCCTGATATGAAACATAAGCAAGTGAAATCAGATCAGCTGTTTACAGTAAGCTCTGCATGCTCTACAACACTGACCGGAAGTGAAGCCATGATGACGGACAACAGGGAATGGGACGATGTCGGGTCCAAACAATGCTAATAAACAATGAACCGAGAGCTTTCCATTCTCTTAACGTGTGCTAGCTTTTACACCTAACGCTACAGTGGGGTAGCCATGTGACATAACTATACCAAAACGACTCACACATTAGTCTAAACGACATTCAGCGTTTGTCAGTCAAAGTGTTAGCTGCGGTTTAAATGTCCGAAGTCAATGCGCAAGTAAAGATATCGTTAACTGTTAACAAACCCAACCTGAAGTGTAGTTAAATGCATGAAGAGGGTAGATAGCTTATTTATAATGCGTCTCAAATTGGTTACGTTTGGGGACGGGTTAAACCATAAGTGTAACTAGCGAAATAAATAAAGACGTTAGCCGCTGCGGCTACACACGGCATGCTAACAAACGAGCTAACTTTTACAGCGCAGTAGCTAACGTAACATTACTGTACATTCAAACATGGCGGATTTAACTGTTACGGTAAAGTGGCGTTCACGAACTTGGTGTTCTTTAAAAAATAAATTGGAGTTTGAGTTTTGACGTTAAATCTATGTCAAACATGTTGAATGCGGTTAAGAACGTGTGGTGTACTCACCTCTCCATGGGGGAATTTAAAACATTGATGGGGTCTGGTTGAAGTTGGATACCGCCCCGCGACCCTGAAGCCCGCCCCTCGCTATCCGGCTCGGCTAACTTTAATGCTGTGCCAGGTCTCAAAATGTATAATTCTATAAATTGCAGATATATAATCTATAATATATTTATAAGCAGTCTGAGATTGATCAGAAAATACAGACACGTAACAGACTTTAATAACAACCACAGCAAATGTGACATTAACACTCTGTGTTAGCATGCGGAGCTAAGAAGGCTAGCATAAGGCTATAGCGGTTAGCAAAATGTCCTGGTTAGCCTTTGTAGCTAATTTAAGCTAACTCCAAGGTAACTAACCTACTTTGCGATTTTTGGCTCATTAGCCGTCAGCACATAATCACAATTTTAAGTGAAATATTTAGGCGATTATTACAATGTTTGATTGCAATTTGTTAATGTGTAATTACTGACTTCTCCGATAAAAACGACAGAGGCCAAAACCCTTTTCAAGTCCAACTCACTACTTTTATTCTGTCACTTAACATACTTGACTTACTGTCACTGTATTACAAACTGTTTTCATCTTCACAATGTTTATTACAAGTCATTATACATATATTGTTACATTTCAGTTTAACCTTACATTCAGCTTATTCATTTGCAATACTGCGTACACAAATTTCTATTGGGCTAGGCTACTTAATTTTACTTTGTGTTTATATTTTAGGCCTATACCATAACTTGTATTATATTTTGTCTTAGATTCAGTTTTTGCATTTATTTGCGTGATTTTCTATTTTGTAGATCTTGTAGTATTGTTGGAGGGTCCCAGAGCCCCAAGATTTCCATTGCTAACAACTTCCTCAGTGTAGCCTAATTGTTCATATGGTAATAAAGAACACACAGTGCCCTGTCCTCACCAATATTGGGCATTAAATGTAACAGTATGGTGTGGGCCCAATTAATCACTGTAAATAGCCTCTTCCACAAGGCCACAATCAAACTACATTCAGATGAAGTTAATTACTAACGAGACAGTCTTCCAGCCTCTATCCTTTCTACACAACACTAGAAAGAGTTGTTGCAGTCAGCTCACAGACTTCCTTAGTCTTATGGCGAGGTCTTCCATCTCCATGGTATTGCCCAGATTTTGCACACTGTAAAATTGCTGCTCATTACTTGCAAGCTTTTTATGGATAAGCATCTTCTTAGCTCATTAACCCAAACAAATATATAAACAATATTTTCAAGGGCAGAGCTTTTTCAGAATATGCTCCATTTTTACAGATTAAAATCACTCAGTCAGAGACAACCACATTTTTCTGTTGACTCTCAAATTTATGATGGGTTGTATGTTCTGATATATATTTTTTATTTCTATTCTTTTATTACATTTTTGACTTGCTGCTGTACATAAAAAAAAATTGTATTCTTTTTTTTTTATATACTTCACATTTTTAAAAATTATTTGTGGAAGTGTAAAATCAGTACAGCAGATTTTTTTCCATGATCAAACTCCTCCTGAAGCAATTAATCAACTAGTTGTTAAACAAGAGGCCAGTATTGATAACTGATGAAGCACTGAAGTTATTTATCATGTACATTTCCAACCATTGTCAAGTCGTCTTATTAGCCCACTTTAGTGGATTTTGACAGTTGCTTTGACAAGCAATTTAAAGACATGAAGGTATATGAATTTGTCATTGTTTTTATGACTCTATATAACAAACAACTGATGGAGTCACTTAAAAATAGTCCATTAACCAACAATGGAAATAGCCTTTACTTGCAACCTTATTAACCTTTAAAGACCACTCAGAGTAAATATTAAAACAAAAAATAAATGCACAAAAATAATACATATTTGACACACAAGACTCAGGTTTTTAGCAGCCAAGCTGCCTTTTATTGGTAAAAATTATATATAGGTTGCTATAAGAAGTACACAAACATAAAAAAATACATCAACACTTTGCCACTATTCAAATGAAGTATAAAAATAGCACAGAATCTGTTCTTTTGAAATGCTTTTGCACTTTAGATTCATAAAAAGGCAATAAAGCGAAACAAAAAAAATCATTGAATGTGATTCTGATAAAAGATAAAGCACTAAAAGGTTATAACAAAAGAAACTGTTCTCAGATATTCACACTCAAGCCTACAATTACACTCAAATGGTTTACATCTAAATAACACAAGGTATTAAAAGCTATTGATTAATATGCTCTATATCTTGCTATAACATTAAAAATTTAAAGAAAGCTTTATACTGTTAATATATACTGTATTTGTTCTCAATATAAAAAGTCTTAAAAGAGCAGTTAAAAAAGAAAAACTATTTTTTTGTGTACTGTTTTCAAGCAAAACATTCAAGCTCAGCAGTATTAATGAAGCATGTAAACAATTACTTTTTTGGTTTTTAAGGGACTTTAGAATCAGACTTGAAAACTGAAAGAGGCCCCCGGTGGCCCTTTAAGGGGCCTTTTGAGCACCACAAAGGAGTCAATATATTTCTAAATGAACTGGTCATTTTAACATGTAAAAAAGATGTTCTTTGAGGAGGCTTGTGCATTTGTGTTTCAAAAAATAATGTAGTTCCTGGTCAAACAAGAGAGTTTAAACACTTGTAAACCTTTCTATCGATACAGTACGCAGAACATGGTGTAAAAAAAGTTCCAGTGATAAAAAAACAAGCTATATATATACACACAGGGCATATAGGAGCATAAAGCTACAGTATATATTCACAGAACAGAGATCCTACAGGAGGAGTGATGTACAGTTGCCCCTTTGTCTGAGGTAATGCCCATTTAGGTATGATTTGGTGACAGCCAACAGCATTTAAAATCCTCCAGTTATCAAAACAAGTAGAAAAAGGTTATTAAGAAGGACAGCACCAAGATTTGTGTTTGGTCACATGAAGGGAATCAGTACCAAAATAACCTGTTCAGTAAATCCCTCTGTCTGGTAAGCATAAGCATACAGTATGACATGTGATTGCAGGCAAAACCAAAAATGTTTATCATTATTAAGGGGTTTTAAAAATCTACATTGCTGCAGAAGTCTTGCAGGAAAACAGGAAATCCCTCTGGGCAGGAATGTGCACCACATCCTACACATTCAGTCTCCTGTTTTCTCACATGATGTAGAATTATTTGTACATACTGTATACCAAAATGTGTAAAATGTGCACCACACAGTATCGACCAGCATCAGAGATGATTTTCACTTTTTGGAAACTGGAAAAACTCCTTTGAACCAAAAGTAGTCAGTGGTAAGATAACATAAGATACTGTGTGTTCACCAGTGTTTCCTGCCATCCAGTCATTACAGTGAATTAAAACAATGTTGTCTTTAAGATAAAAATCTAAACATCTACAGTAGGATAAATGCCATCACCCTTTAACACTTAGCTGTCTGGAATGGTCAAAAAGACAAAACAATTATCTAAAATTCTGTTTTTGCATTGGCTTGTTTCAAGTATTGTACAGTATGTAGCTATCAGGGAGATGTCGCGGTGAAATTCTAACTCAATGTGTCACACTATCTATACAAAAAGTTTTTATAAAATCTTTAATAAAAGGTTTTTTCTTTTTTTTTAAGGAAGCTAGTTTGCTCATATGAACTCATCTCAGAGCAAATGACAAAAAGTAATATTTT